AACTGAACTGACAGAATCAAAATTAGAATAAACATGGTCAATCAAAGTTCTACTGTGCCGGGAAATACGCGTACATTCACTTACTAATTGTTTTAAATTAAAGAAATCAGCTAATTGCTTCAGATGGTTCGAATTGCTAGTATCATGCCAATTAATGTTAAAATCACCCGCAAGTATATTTAATTTACTAGAATCTAAAAATGTCTCGAACCAGTTCTCTAAAATTTCAATAAAACGCTGATTACTTGAACTGGGAGAATGATACAAAACACCATAATTACCCATCTTCATGCCACGTTCAACTGTAATGCCTAAGAACCAATTGCCATCAATAACTTCGTTTTGGCGAAGATTGAATTGAACTGATTCTTTGACATAAATAGCAACACCGCCAGTGTGCCTTGAATGTGACAAACAAGCAGCAGCTTTATATCCCGGAATGCTATACTGATCAAAAGATTCAATTTCTACAATATGTGTTTCTGCTAACAAAACCAAAAGTGGACGATTATCTTCTACAATCTGACGTAATGTTACGTAGTTTGTAGATAACCCCGCAATATTCAAATACAAAATCTCTAATTTACTCACATTACTTGGTTGCTATTTATTGAAATGTAAGCTGCTTTTTTTCTGATCATATAGTTTTTTATACACAAAACAATTAGAACTAAATGCTGCGTGGTTGACGTCCAGATTTAATTTACGCTCTTTATTAGTTTTTAAACAATTAACGCATTTCAATACAGTTGACGTACACTTAGAGGTGCTATGTTGTTTGCTGCATCTAGAGCATCGTTCGCAATTTTTGCAATCCGTGCTTTTGTGCCCAAATTCTCCACATCTGAAGCATCGCAAAACATTAATCGCGGGAACTATCGAGCACCGATCAAACCCTACATTTACTTTTTTCGCACATAACAAACATTTATACGTCTCGATATCGACTTCAATCACAACACTAAACTTGTTGTAAGTGAAGCGTGGATTTTCAAACATGTTAACTACTTTTACATCATTAATTGCGATGTCTTCATTTTGACTTTTTAAGAAGTCAATGAAGACATCGGAGGAATACTGATCGCTCATGCCCACCACTTTTAACATTGGCACCGATGTGGGAACAACAGCGTTGTAGTTTCCACCCAAATTGCTTTCAATGCCCTTTTTCACCTCATTTACATTGTATCCTGTTGCACACTCAACAATAATGGAGCCATCTTTCCCGTTTCTAAAGTTACTAATTTTGTGTGTTTTTGGATCCAGGTTTGTTTTCAAAAACTTGCGAGTTTCCTCGCAATTTTGTTTGGACTCTTTAGGTTTAATCACAATGACCGGGCGAGCCTTACGGTTGTTCAGTTTTTTACTTTCAAACTTACTTTTATCATTTTCAACTTTATTTTTACTGATATTCTTACTTTTACCGTCCCCTTGTCCGTTTTTCAAAGCATCCGCGAAACTACATTTAACTTTATCATTAGTAGAATTCTCTTCGTCATGACTATTACTATTACCATCGGGGATTTGACCCGCTTCAGAGGGAATCGGCTCAGATCCACTGCTTTTATTCATTGCAACTAAATTTTTGTCCGCAATAATTCTCGAAAATGAACTAGTCATATTTTCCAATTTTTCATTTAATAATATTTCAAGTCCGCCAACGGCTTCCTTCAGGGTACCATTTACATTTAAACGGATAGCTTCCATACCGGTCTTCAACGCGTTATCAATTTGAGCAGCAATCTGATCTCGCATGTTTGTGATCGAGAAGATATTCTCTTCACTTCTTCCTCAATATTTCTAACATGCGAGATCGAATCACTCGGCTCGTCACAACTAGACAGTGAGAAGTGAGAAATGAAGTAAGTGTTAAACTTCAACATTCAATGGATTTGATTGTAAAGCTGTTTCTTTAAAACTGATTACCATGTCTTAAAACGATTGGGTAAATTGCTGTTGTTTTTGATCCACAAAAAAAAGAATATTTTTAACGCATTTAAAAAATGACTTTTTTATAATAAACCTGGAATTTATCCGTTAAAGTACTGGAAAAACCTGGAAAACTCATGTAATTTTATTTAGAAAAATTAGTAGACACCCTGTAGATAGAGAAAGACGATTAAATGCTACAAAGCAAAGAATGATCAATCTTGAAATAAATTCACGCTAAAAAAGTTGAAAATAGTGACTGATTACAAGAAAAAGTGACTTTCGTGACTTGGTCTTAAAAAAAGAGTATTTTTAGTGACTGGCTTGAAAACAGTGACCAAGTCACTAAAAAGTGACTCACTACCAGCCTTGCTGCACCCAATTACCTTACGCATCATTCAAATAGGGTTAAATACCCCATTTCCGGCCTATTAAGCATAACACGCACTTAGTCTTTCTTAATCTAGATCAGTTTTGCACCGGAATGTTATTATTACTGATGGCTTCCAAATTTATTTGCCTTTCCGTACGTACCATAAGATTTGAAAACGAGAAACCAATCGTTGAGATATTGTCAAAAGTCCAACACTGCTTCTTGACGCCAAACTCGGCCTACGGATTTTAAACTCGGCCTAACGCATTGAAACGCAATTGAAACGCCAATGAATTCACTTCGGCCTATCGTATGAAGATAAAAATTGATTCGGTCGGAGCGCTTCTTTTGTTTTTAGGAATAATGGGTGCAAACTTTCATACGACGCGTTCTCATTAACTTCGTTCGGTAACTTATTAACTAAAGTATCGTATCAAACGCATAATTGACTTGTTAACTCTGCAATCATAGATTTATTTGAAGTTTTCTGCTCGATAGGCCCAAAATCGGCGATTAGGCCGAAGTAGTGCTCTACCCTACTCAAAATAGTATCGTTTTGAGGATTTTGAAGAATATTTTTCGACTGAAAATCCATCTGAATTTTTTGTTGGCTTCGCATTGCACCCGCGACTCCAGATTAGTAGCATAGAGGTAACTCTTAGTAGTGTTAGTAGTTGGTAGTAGTTAGTAGTGCGATAGCAATATGCAAACTTAAACTCAATGCGTTAAATTGTTGATCTTACGTTTCGAAACATGCTCACTATGGGTTGTAGGGTGGATTCACCACTGCTCGTTCGATATGAATTGAGATCTCCAACAAATTTGCCATATTTCAACTAAGTTGGTAGTGATTTGAAATTACGGGACAGTACCCAACAAACAATTTGTGCTGATTGAAAGCTGAATAAGCCATTTTTTAGCTGAAGAAGCTGTTAACCTGCTTCCAATGTTTGTTGAGTACGATACGATATGATACAATTGGTAATACTTTGTGGTCAAAAAGTGTTGATGAATCAATCAGGGTTGCTGAAACGATTCAGATTGGAAGGAATATCGAAATAAAGATCATCGATTGGCGCTAAACACTAACACTGTTGTAACGATTTTACAAATACAGTTTTAAAATAAGATAAAGGGAAAATGGCTCTAATGTTGGTCTATGGATCTAAGATTTGGCTCATTGCTATAAATCTGTTATTTATCAATTTTATCTGGATGAACGCGTCATTGGGACGGTACTAATGGATATTTTTGGTCGCTATTGAAAATTTAGTCGATTGGTGAATTTATGTATGGGTCCAAATTAGGGGCATTTAGGCCAACATTACATCCATTTCCCCTATCAAGCAACATATTCATTACACTTTGCAAAATAATTACACACCTGGCGGAGAAAAAACTTAGCTAAATATAACACCATTTGCTGATATCAACCTTTTTGCCTTTCTCGTACATCAAGGTGTACCGCTCCAAGACCCGGAGAGGCGAACGGCATATACCAATAGACTAATCTCAACGATAACGGAAATTGTTTATTTATGTGTGTGTATATATGTATGAATGCATGTATGTGTGCAAGTTCGTATGAGTGTAACTCACTCAATTTTCGTAGAGATGGCTGGACCAATTTGAGTGGAACAAGTTCCAGAAGATGTGTTTCGGATCCCCATAGATAGCTATTGATTTTTTTTTTCCTGATCGGATTGATGGTTCCGAAGATATCAACAAAAAAGTAAATTCCAGATTCCACTGGGGAATACGCAAAAGATTGATATATCAAAAACTCATCATGCGACACCTCATATCACATTAGAATTTTACTATGATTCGATTGTTTACATTTATTTATTGCACACCGTCTTCGACTACGTCCTACCGACTGATTACTTAAAACTAAAACTTGTTTAACTTAATCCTCATTAGTAAAACCAAATTCGTTACAAACGTCATTAAAGGAAGGCAAACAGGAATTAAAACAGTTATTGCATCCAAAGTTAGTTCTGTGGAATGGAATCGACAGAAACGGGGAGTTACGAAATCTGCGAAGAGGAATGTTCCATGTTCGGGACAGTCCACATTGCTGGTAATTAGATCGAATATGAAGAGAGATTCCAAATCAATCAGCATGCATCGGTCTGGATAGGCAGAAAGAATTATTGGAAGCTGATGTAAAGCAAACCTCATGAAACTTTTCTGAAAAATTTAATCGTAATAGTATGCGTGGTGTAAAATGGAGACCACACTGGGGGAGCATATTCTAAGATACTGCGAACCAGCGAGCAGAATAGTGTCTTGAGGCAATACACATCGGTGAAACCAGAAGCATGACGATGAATGAAACCAAGAACAGTGCATTCTTTTGCAGTTATGATGCTTATGTGTTCACAAAACGTTAACCGGGAATCGATCGTATCGCCTAGATAGCATAAGATCAATGGTGGATATATTCAGACCCAATGATCACAATGGCCTCTTTCAGAGTGGACAGATTCTGACATGCGCCGAAATGCATCGTCCGATACCTTAAATCACATCGAATTCAACATAATAATCGTACAGATAATTTTTATTGTCCGTTTAATAACTTGAACAGTCCTTTAACAATAAGGAGAAGATATATGTGATTTAAATTTTCATTAAAAGACATTTTTTCCTTTGCTTTCAGCACTACTTCCTAGAAAACATCGTCATCACAAAGTCCAGCTATCTGGAAAGATCCAAACCAACCCTAAATTTGTGATACACGTATCGCACAAGGTGCCCGATGACTCCGAAAATGATAAAACAACAACTGTGTTACGTATTTTTCCTACTTATCACTGCGCACCTGATAGACGCCACCATACCAACGATTGATAATATCGGTACGTAAGCTCCTACAAGTAATCCATTGTCACCATTGATCCATAGACAACCAGCTGCACTGCAACGAACCTACGTAATTTAAAAGCGGTCACATGTTCAAATGTTCTTTCGCGCAATCAGGCCATCGAATGCTCAAGATTAGTCAGCCCAGTGGCAGGCGCGTAGGCAACATGTTATACCGTGACAGCGGGCCCAAATAAAAAACGATAAACGATTTAAGCCCGGGACATGCTGCCTACTGTCAAACGCTGCTGTTGGTATAGGCCTTATCACTGGTCTGAGATTAGCCAAGGAATAGTGACCTCAATGTGACGTACGTTTATGTATGTTATTCGACTGGAGACGTCATTCGGATTGAGCCCATAAAATTTCTGCCTTTCTCCATATTTTGGTGGTCACTGAACTAAACGATCCAAACGAATCGGAAAACTATCAAACATTATAACTGACACCCACATGCGACCGCTAACGAACTGCCCAGGCTGCATTTTGACCATGGAGGTGATCAAATTTGGTTATCGCGGCTATGTTAATGCCTTTCTGTGCTATATATGGCTGATGAAATTTGACGCTACAGTTCACTGAACTGAACTGTATTGTAATCAATCAAAAGAAATGTGATGTCATTAAAATAGGGGCGTTACTATCGAACAAAATGGGCCAAAAGGTCTCAGAATTTTATGAAATGTTTCCCACAAGTAGAGTTTATGATTGTATGAACGAAAATAAAAATCAAAAAATTCGCGTTGATATTTTTTCGGGCAAAGTTTTCGGATTTTCCCGAACATCACGTACTTTGAATATTCGTAACTCATGAACCAAGTATTGTAGAAAGAACGTTGTATAGTGAAATTATCTCAACAATCCATACAATATATAATCTGACTAATGTTTTCGACGAAAATTTTCACGGTGGAGGAAAATCGCAAAATAAATCAGGAAAACCCATTCTCAGTATAATCATAGAGGTAACTCTACGACCAGATAGTTCCTAAGAAATGTGGTCAATTTTTTGGCTCAACTCTGGTACTATCTTCGATCCCAAGCTAATCGATGCACCCCTCGAAAAATCCACGAACTCGTCATTTTATCTGTCAAACTTTCATAGCGAATCAAAACAAACATTGTGTAGTACTAACATTTCGACTAGAATGGGGCACGCTTATAGATGTATTTGGGACCAATAGGCTAGTCAAGTAGGGAGTCAATTTAGAATCGTTAGTTTCCACCGGTTGGTATAATGGTTGCATTTTTTATCTAAATATGTTTTTTTCTTAAGCAACTTTTGAAAAACGCGTATTCAAACAATTGATTATATTTTTTTCAAAATAATATAAAATAGAATTTTTTTCTAAGGGAGTTTAACTGCTTGTGCAGTCATTCATCCCTGACACCTGACACATGCAAATGACTGATCTGAACAAAATGACATCTGAGAAAAAAATGTAGGTAATTAAATGTTCTTTGAAAAAAAAAACACTGACAGAAAAACCTCATAGAACAAAACATAAAACGTCGATTTTCTCAAAACACCCTAAAAGCTTAAGTAATGCCCTCAGATTTGAAGAAGAGTGTAAGCCGGTAACTTGCTTCAAAAAAAATTCTATACATTATTTTAGTTTTTAGGGTTTTTGATCTAATTTCCGTCCTACTAAGCACAACCCGCGCTTTACCTCTCTTTTTTGAACGGGTTTGATAAAAAATGGAATATTTCTGTCCAAGATGACTTTTAAATGTATTCACCTTTCAATACGTACTGTTGGATTTGATAAAGAGTTACACATTGTTGAGATATTGTTTAAAATCTAATACTGCTTCTTGATTCTAAATTCGTCCTACGCCATTAGATTTTTTTCGTCCTACGGATAAACGTAGAAAAAGGGAATTCGCTAGGAGCGCTTCTTTTGGTTTGAGAAAAATGAGCGTAAATATCCATACAATGCAATCAAATAGGATTTATAATGTAGCGAAGACATCAAATCAAGAAGACTGGCAACTTTGCCAGAATCCAAGCGACAGATACAATAGCGCTGCGCTTGAGTGAAGGTGGAAGCAACCCATAGAAAAATGAGCAAATACACAAACCTTTCTTCTGAGGATGTAATCTTTGCTATCAAATTCGTTCGAAGCATTTACCTTTGATCGGCAGATGACGCGATTGTACCTGTCTCATAGCGTTCGTATGAGAAAATTTAAGAGTTGCCAGTCTTCTTGATTTGTTGTCTTCGGTTGTAGCTAATGAACTAACGCATCGGAACAATCCTATTATTGATTTGTGCACGGTGAAATCGTTGATATTATTGATCTTTTCTGATCGATAGAACGGAAATGGGCGATTACGAAGAAGTAGCGCTCCACCCTATTGATTTTAAAAATACAACGAAACTGCATATTTCTTAGTAAAATAATAATGTATGTATTTGGACATGTAACTTTTTTCCCAAGTCCAGCCGTTCTCAAGTTAATACAAATTAAAAATATAATAATTATGAATTTTCTACACTCAAAAGATTTTCAAATCTAAATAGATTAAAAGTTACACTAAATCGCAACTCTCCTGCCCGACGCATAGGTCGGATTAAAGAGAGATAATACGAACTTAGTATAAAAATGATTTATTCATTGAATGGTGTAAAGTTGCGGTATTCATAGAATGCATAAAGCCTGCTTATCCGTCAGAATGCGTTTTTCATTGATGTCAAGTGAAGAATTTTGGAATAAAGTAAACAAAAGATCTGGAAGTAATGGAATTGTGTTTTTATTGAAGCATTTAAATTAAAAATAATAAGAATGCCCGATCGCATAATAATCACACCACGGTAGCCGAGAAAGGAATGTACGAATATTAGTGTTTATAATCCCATAATTAGGCTGCAGACGTAACATTTGGTGCAGGACAGGTTTGAATCGGTCCTTCAGATCTAGTCATGATCTTGTACATTTTGCACGAACGTAATCGGACTGGTTCCTTCTCCACGTACACCCAACGGCTGTTGATACCGTTTTTGCAGTGTGATCTGTTGGTTCTCTCTGTCACCCGCGCATAATCGTATTCAACATATCTCTCTCATGTGTTCCCAAACCCGACGATAGCAAACGACCTAAAACAGTAATAAAAAGTCGAACTTCTTTGTCAACTCCGAGTCGACCACATCAAACCCTTTCGTACCTGATTTTGGATTATAATCAGCTTCAGATTGTACTTATTTTCCACGTTATTCTGCTTCACGTACACCTAGTTGCTCTCTATTGGAAGTTTCATCATAGTCGGAACCAATTACCGTGTGCTCCTTCTCAGCATACAATCTGGAATCACTGGATATAGCGGCTTGCTTTCGTTTTTTCTTCCACTTCGGAATCAGCCGAATCAGAACGACCGCTTCTCGTCGGAGACCGTGATCCAGAGTTTGATCGAGTTGATTTTTCAGGGTGGATTTGACCTATTAGGGATACAATTTCCTCTTTTAGTCTAGAAATGTTTATAATACTCAGTGTTGGCAAAATCAGAAATCAATTGATATTTTTCCGCTCTCATGCGCTCACAATGTCACGCGTGATATTGGAACAAAATATCATGCTTGATATTGATTTTACAAGCTCCTTTGATATTGCGAGACTATTTACAACATGCAAAAATAAAGCTGAGAGTTGACTCGACACAAAAATGATTCCATTGCACATCGTTTTCTTAGAAAGAGAAAGCACAGTTTGCTATCTCTTTTAATCTTCACCGATGGCAGACGCGAAGGGACTGCTGCAAGCCGTTCTGGAAGTTTCGGTTGCATTCGGGTGTAAAGCAAAACTCATTAAACTCAATCTCACCACAGTTTGGTGAGATTTGCAGTTGGTGAGTTTTGTTAGTTGTATATTCTGAGCTGCAATATCACAGCTTGCAAAATCAACCGCAGTAGTTTGCTTGTTGATTTTTGTCTACGAAAATCAAGCGTGATCTTGGGCGTTGATGAGATTTGATTTTTTGATATTTTCCCAACACTGATAATACTATTTGAGTAGTAACTTACCGGAGAATTTGACCTAGAGCCAGGTCCACTTCTGGACTTAGTGGGATTTCCTTTTTGCAGTCTGTTCGTTGGAGTTCCACTGATTTTGTAGTAATCCCGGACGAATTACGCGTTGCACATCGTTGGAGCGACTTGTTGAAAAACAAACACACATACGAAGTTTTGTGATTGTTGATGATGTGTGCGCTGCACTGACCATATTTCCCCAAATAATTTATGTTCTTGATCAGACTGTCCGACTGTGGTTTCTCGTGGGGTTTCATAAGGAAGTGTTGGTTCGACGTGCCGATTTGCTTCACAACTGATTTATTATTTTGAATGCATAACAAACTGCATTTTGTTGTTTTTTTTTTCCTTTGTATACTAGGAACTAATTACACGCCTTTATTCAGATTTAGTATAGGTTTTAAAGAAATTTTAATCGGATCAATTTATAAACATTGCGTAATCATAAAATGATTAAATTTAAATCTATCTTTGTTTAGTAATATTTTTGAGTGTACATTTTGAACCATTTTTAAATATTAAAGGGTGTTACGATCAAAATTTGGCTAAACAAGAATGCGTGTGAATTGATTTTTTTTATTAAAATCAGGAAATACTTGCTTTAAATTTTCGGAAGATTAGTATGTGAATGTATGTGTATAGTAATGATGATGATTGAAAAATATTTCAAAAGGAAAGCCCTTATTACCGATGTCACTTCACGGTGAAGTGACATCTTATCACTCACGGTGAAGTGATTCCCATTTGATTTACACGGCAAACACTTCACCGTCAGTGACAAGTGAGTGGTCTTTTCACTTCGTTTTCACCGTAAAGTGACACTCGTAATAAGGGCCGCAAAATAATACAAACTGACTGACGGTGTCTTGAGCCTTAAAGTTCCACAAAAGGTAAACAATTTATTTACTTTCAAAGTGTTTTTATGTTACTTCATACGCGAAGTTAGCGATTTTCAGAGTTGGTTGGAAATG